TCTAAGTAATAATGCAGGGGTTATGATTCCACCATTTACACTTTCTCAAAGACAAGATAGAATTACAATTTGCAGTTAACCATTTAGGTAACTCAGTTTATCTAATTATGTTTAATTTGTTGAAGATATAATTAAATTAATAAAATAAAGTAGTGATTTTTCTAATAAATTTAAGCTTTTAGATAACATTATCACACACTTTAATATAATATCGGAGCAAACGTCATCATAGATTCGAGTCTCACAAAAACTATATTAAAAAATGATCATGTGATTAATTAACCCATGATAAAGAACCAAGTTCGCATATGCAGAATATATTGAAGATACGATTAAGTAAACGGAAAAGGGTCAAAATTGCCCCCGAACTATATGAAATAGACCATTTATACCCTTCGTTACATTTTGGGATAAAAAATACCCCTGCAGTTATCCCAGGAGACCACAAATACCCTCAAGAGTTAACACCCCCATTTTTTAGTGACGTGGCAAGCCACATGAGACTAATCCCTCCACCTAAGCATTGCCAACTAAGATTCACTACAAAAGAACTTGACTTTTAGCGGCAACAACAGTCGCCACAAAAGCCCAGAAAATCGTCACTAAAAGTTTTTAACATTAAATTCTAATTTTGTGATTTTTTCTTTATTGTTTTTAAAAAATCAAATATGATATCGATTAAGTAGGAGTTTGAAGACACTATATTTTTTATTTTTATGTCATATGTAAATGTATAAAATGTACAATGATGCATTATATATATATAGTAGGAGATTTGAATCGAGAAGTAATTTTGATTATTTTTCGTAATAATATTGGATGTTTTTAATATGGATATTGCAAGTTATTTATTTTAGAAAATTAGGTCGCAATCGAAAATTTATTATCATATTTTTTTGTTGAAAAAATAAGTTTTACTAGCGCATGGTTGTTGGAGCCTTAGTCGCCACTAAAAATCACTCATAACCTTTAGTGGCAATATTTTGAGATTTTGTGGCGACTTTGTCGCCACTAAAAGTCAAGTTCTTTTGTAGTGAATCTTAGTTGGCAATGCTTAGGTGGAGGGATTAGTCTCATGTGGCTTGCCACGTCACTAAAAAATGGGGGTGTTAACTCTTGAGGGTATTTGTGGTCTCCTGGGATAACTGCGGGGGTATTTTTGATCCCAAAATGTAATGGAGGGTATAAGTGGTCTATTTCGCATAGTTCAGGGGCAATTTTGACCCTGTTCCGTTAAGTAAATAAAAACATATGCTCCAAATTCCAATACGTGTGCAAAAGCGACATATTAAAGATATAATTAAGTAAATATAAGTGTAATCAAACTCACATTTGATGACATTTTATCGTTTTGAAGATACAAACTAAAGTAAATGAAAATCTACTCTATCCTTATTTTAGATGCAATAAATAACAGTTATGTGTGGAATTTTGGAAAACATTGTATCACAAGGATCTATGCGGCCTTATCTTATATTTCTGCAATAAAGTTGTTTTTGTATCTCAAATCAATGATCTTCTTTCTAATCACATTATAATAACTTTATCAGTTACGATGAGACTCTCGAGATGAATACATTATTCAAATGTATGATCAAATATAATGTGTTAATATTTTGTTTTTACAGGCCATTTTCTTTTGACAAATCTTTTATTGGAAAACATGAAAAATACAGCTAAAAATAGCAAAAAAGAAGGAAGGATAGTAAATGTTGCATCAGCAGCACATGATTTTGCATATTCTCAAGGAATAATTTTTGATAAAATTAATGACAAAGAGAGGTATATATATAGTACACAATTAAGTAACTTCTTCAATTATCATTTTTTAGTTGAAAATTTTATGAGATTATTTTATTTCGTGTTTAATTGAATATTTGATTTCAATTAAATATAAAATTATTTTATTTCGTGTTTATTTCTCATCAAAGTCGTCTGAAAAAATTAAGGTTAAAATTGAAAATAAAAGTACATCGGCCAATTCATTTATATCGTAAATCAAACACATGTGTTATATTTATATTTTGTATATACATCCTATTTTTATAATTTTTAATATTTCTTATTTATTTGTGAATTGTAGCTACAACAAATTCCATGCTTATGGTCAATCAAAGCCTGCTAATATACTGTATGCAAATGAACTCGCAAAGCGTTTAAAGATATCATCTCTTAAGTCGTCATTATAAAATTCATATTCGATACAGCTAAAATTCTGACTCCATCTCTATTAATAAAAAAATTTACCCAAATAGGAAGAAGGGGTGAATATAAGTGCTAATTCTGTTCATCCTGGGCCAATTGCTACCAATATTATGCGTTACAACAATATCCTTCATGGTAAAATATTTTAACTCACTTTTTAAAAACATTTATTCCACCATTTATTTAAAATTTCATTGACTATATTTTTGTTCAAATATAGTAGGAAGTCATCCATAGTCCATATTGAGTTATCTTTTAGAGGGTGTTTGACTTAGCTTATTAAGTAGTTTTCAGCCCTCGAGAATGTTTGGATATTTTAAAAACGAATTAGAAAGAGTTAAAAGTAGGTACCCTACTTTGACTTTTTAAAAACTACTTTTTTTAAGCTAAGCCAGACGGACCCTTAATCTTTAGTTTGACACTACATTCTCCCCCTCCCTAACCATATTTTACAGGAATAGTTAACTGGATTGGGAGATATGTGCTAAAGAATATTGAACAGGTACTTGAATTTTTTTCTCCTTACATTGATATTCAATACTATAGCTCCGCCCCTGTATTTATCGCCAAATCTTTAACCCCCCCCCCCCCCCCCCTATATTTAATATTATAGCTCCGCCCTTACGTATGATTATCACCATGTTTTTGTCCCTACATTGTTTATCCTATGATTATAGGGAGCATCAACTACATGTTATGTGGCTTTGCATCCACAAGTGAAAGGAGTAAGTGGTGAGTACTTTTCAGATAACAACATAGCTACAAACAAAACAACTTCTTTGGCTAAGGATTCAGATTTAGCAAAGAAATTGTGGGAATTTAGCTTGGATTTGACCAAATAGGATTGTCAAATGGGTGAGTCAGGTTGAATCTGGATGAATCAAGATGTAATGAGTTAATAAATGGACAGGTTAAATTTGAATTGATTAGGCGAGGTGTGTTTTCATGAGCTAATTTTGTTACCCCTAGTTGAGAACCTCAGTTCATCAATTTCTAATTTGACTATGTTATCATGTCTTTCTTTCCCTGTCTTTATATTTTGTTTGTTGGGCTAAGTCGATCCAAATATATTTTTAACATAGTGTGATTTTATCTGTTTTGGACCACGTCCACACGGTTTCTCAAAAGCCTCACACCATTAGAATGGTAGATGGGTCGATCAATAATCCATCAAGTTTTGAACCGTACACCATTACTCCCAGAGGATTTCTAGGTTTTAGGTTAAGTTGATGCCACTTTATGGCTATAGAACAAGATGACAATAAAGAACCAAACCAAACAAACATTATTTCACCTATCCAATATAATATATACATTGATTGGCAGCAACAAAATACTAAGATAATTTCTTCTTATTTATATTCAAGTTTTAATGGACAAAATTACTCAATATTTGTGCTGGTGAAAGGTAACAAGTACCCTGCGAAATTAGTTGAGGTGCACACAAAGTGATCTGAACTTGAACAAAATGACCTTGATACCTGTGCTAATGGAAGGTAATAGATTTTCACCAGGTTTCCTATAGAATTAGCTGAGTTATGCCCAAACTGACTTGAACACCACGATTATCCAAATGTCAACACTCATGACAGTTTGCAGGAATTACAATATCAATAAATATAAACAAATCTCATTCTCTTCAAACACCTTTTGATGCCAGTTAAGATCAAGTGGCAGTTACCATTCAAATGTCCATGAGTTTTCATGATTGAATAAGAATATGCCACTATGTCAGTCCACTTGTAAAGCTTCACGACTATTAAGAAATGAACCTTAGACCTGACTCGACTTCAAAATTTGTCTTATGAAGCAATGTATGCCAAGACCATAATGAGACTACAACTTGTATCCTCAACCAAATGAGGGCGCTATGTTGGGTAAACCAAGAACAAGGATTAGTCCGACTCTAATACTATATTAAGAAAATGGAGATTGGCCTCGCTCAACCCCAAAAACTTCCTCGTGAGGTGAGGATGGTTCAAAACTATATAAAGAGATAAAATTCCATACCCTCAAGGCCTTAACTGGTAAAGTTGTTGCCATGTGACCAGGAGGTCTCGTGTTCAAGCCTTGGAATTAGCCTTTGGCAGAAATGCAAGGTAAGGCTGCATACAATAAACTCTTCCTCGGACCCTGCGCATAGCGGAGGCTTTAGTGCACCGGGTTACCCCTTCTTACCCTCAAGGCCTCAACTAATGTGAGTTCCTAGCAAAGACAATGAGTTTCTCCGGTCACAAGATCAACAGGCGACAACATATTCATATAGCTGACTACAATGCATGAAACATTTGCGAACTGGGAATGATGCAATATGTGACAATGGCATTCTACAAAACCAAAACGAACAAAAAAGTAGTTCAAAATGACAAAGTCATAGCAAAACAAGAAATGCTTTGACAAAAAAAAGAAATCCCATCAGCTTAAAAGTATGTCCTGACTGGAGTGAAGATGCAACTGTTCCAGGAAGTATACTAATACTAAATCATATTTGGATAGCACAAAGGTACAGCAATATATACTATCTTCGAGCAACTTGATTAATTCTCTTCTGGGGCTTTTGTAACGACTATAATGGATCTCCCCGTGTGAAAGGCTATTGGGATCGATCCCTTCAACTTTACTTGGCGTGGAAGGTTGCAAGAGAAAAGAAAACTATTCTTCTTAGCAGCTTTTTCAACCTACCCGACCTCAGCTTTAGAAGTTAACTTTAAGCAAAGAAGACAAGAACTACATAACAAAAGAGACATACATTCAACAAAGACTTAATGGTGAAGAAATGAACAAGATTGAAACAAAAAAAGAATCACATTTCGGCATTTCATTAGCATTGTATAAATACAATTCTTGTGCACATAACAGGCTTGATGAACTATATAAACATTTACAAATAATAAAGCTAGCAACTAACCTTCTCTTACAAATCAATCAATCAATCAATGAACCGCGTCTCAGTCCCAAACAAGTTGGCTTCAATGCCACGACCTACTCCTACCAATGCTTGCGAAAAAAAACCTAAAATCCCCTAACTGAACTCTGCCAAACCTCAACAAATTGTTGATCCTTTCGTGTAACAAACATTCGATTCCCTCCAAAGCTGAAGTGAGTTATCCGATTTCCACAAAAATCTTTTGCTCTTCCCATGTAGTTCTTCCTAAAAACTCTGCCTTCTGATCCAAACCTACCTTTTATCGAACCATCGATAAGAACCTCAGACCACAACTCAACATTTCCTCCTTTAGTGCAGAAAACTTGATTCCCATGGCTCTCGATTTTGCATCCAATTCCTTCCTTTTTACCATTCGTTACCTTTCTTTGATCACCAAGACAAATCCAAGCATTCTCAGAACCAATATTCCTCAAATCAGCAAGAAAAACCTCGCCCGAGTGTACTCCAACTTTAAAAATACCAGACAAACTATCCGAAACTGTGATATCGGAGAAACAATCAACGTTTTCCTTAATTTCCCAAACTGTATTCCCAGACCTTAAATCCCAAAACTTAATATTCCCAAGTACACCAGAAGGACCACTATGTGAACCAGCAGACATTAACAAGTTATGACTAGGTAACCATCTTAACTTAGTAGCTGGAATTGCTGAATCCAATTCAGCACCAAAGATTTCATAATGACCAATCTTAGTAACCGGTTTAAAATCATCGTTAACGTCATATACCATAATACAATTCGAATTCCTCCTAGATGATTCGAAACTCGTAAACAAGAATTCACCTGATGATCCAATTGCTTGTACTGTTGAACCAGACTTAGTCACATTTTCCCAATTAAGATTCTTTTTAACAGAACCCTTAACAAGATCAAGAATCTGTAAACCCGAAAAATCAGTAGCACCAACTGCAACAGTTCTTGAATTCAAACACAACATAGAATCAATAGCTGGAAATTGAGTTAAAATTGTGGATTTTCTCTTTAAAGACCAATCAAAAGAAGTAATTTTACAACCATGAGCTACTTGAACTGAACCATTTTCTGTTGTGGAAATTGCTGAAGGTGAATCTCTACCAGTTAAAGGTAAAAGAAGAGATTTTTCAAGATCAAAAGGCTCAAACTGAGATGGGTTTGACTGGGAATTCAAAATAAGTTGTTCTACACCATAAAATTTTGCTTCAAAAATCAAATCTTGAATATCAAAGTTTTTAGCTTTTGAGGGTAAATTTCCAGTTCTTAAAAGAGATAGTAAAACAGAGAAAATTTCAGGGTCTCTATCAATAAATGGAACTGAATCATTTTCTAAATTACTTGAAATTGTAGAAAAAAGAGATTTTGAACCTGCTTGATTTAGGGTTTGTTTAGTTGTTTGAAAAAGATGGCCACCAACATCAATGGTGACTATGTTGGAATTTAAATCCATGTTGTTGTTGTGTCTGAAACCATATGAAAGAGGGTTTGATCCAACAAAAGGTGGCATTTTTATGAGAAAAAACAGAACAAATTTCAAGAAAAATTATGCTAACTTGAAACTCAAGAAAACAAGAAAGAACACAAACCAAAAACTAATAAGAGACCTAATTAAATTATGGGTTGTTGAGTTTGTTAGAAGATGAATCAAGAATGGTTGACAAATGTGGGAATTTATTAGGTGGGGGTGGGGTAAAATGGTGGCTAGTGGTCAAGAATGACCTAAGTCTTGTAGATTTCTTAGTGATTTCCTTTTACCATTTGAGTGTCATTAGGAAAGGAGTCCAATGTGGACCAAATTTGTGGTCTTTCTTTGTTCCTTCTTTGTTTTGGGGGTGGGGGAGAGGACATCACGACAACAACATATTCAGTTTAATCTATTATATAAGTGGAAGGATGGTATGTATATAATTTTATCTTTTTTTGGTGAAGATAAAGAAGATGTTTTCAATAAATTCTTGGCTCAAATAAGAACATATAATATATATATTTTTTGTGAAAATAAAATATATTAGATAAAAGAATTGTAGTAACAACAAATAACACGCTAACTGATGCAAAGAAAATAACATGTAATAATCAAATGAAGCATAAGATATAATAGGAACATAATAATAATAATAATAATAATAATAATAATAGTACATAGAAGGAAAATTAGATGATGCTTGATTGTCTGATAATACATTTTATCCTAATTCTTGATTTTCATAGCCTTCTATCTAGGATCGTATCCTCGAGAATTTATAAGTGGATATCTTGTCTAATCACCTTAATTAGGTGAGAGGAGATATAATCTCCAAATACAACTCATTATTAATTTGTATCATGTTTGGTTGTATTTGTGGAAATACAATTTTCATATAAAATTCAATAATAAATTATATAATATTTAGTTGTTAGTTTTGTGTTTTATTCATAAATAATATAGGCATAAGTTATATAGGTATATATATTCAATCCCCTTAGGTTGGAAACAAAAGTGAATCCACGATATTAGGAATAGACGCAATAAAATTTGATAAGTTTAGCTCAAACATTTTGTACGTATATATTATCAAACTCATTTAATATGTATAAATTTTTTATCCATAAATTTAACAAAAAGTAATAATTTAATAATCTATAATCCTATGGGCCACACCTAATTTTAATCATTTGGTTGGAGGAATGAAGTATAGAAAAAACAATTGTAATTACGTGATTTAATATTGAAAGATTCTTTATCTTATGTTTAGTTGCCAATTTAATTTCATGAATAACGAATACATTAATGTAAGCATTATATTTGTTAATTTGTATCAAATAAAGAAGGAAGATTATGGTAGGTTAATGGTGAACGTAAAATTAATCGAGAGGAGTTATGTTAGAATGTGCTCGCTCAAATACATGTCATAATTTGAAATTGAGATAAATGATTTACACAAAATAACATAGATATATGACATATATTAATTTGAATAGATATTGAGTATCGATAATAAAAATAAACACGCAAAGAGAGACAAATTGGAATAAACACTACTAGCTAAGAACGAGGTTATAGTCAACAAAAGATGATTAATTGAACGTTGTCATAAAAATTCTAAACTATACTTCGAAAAATTTCTGACGTTCCACCTAAAACACAACTAAAATATCCATAACAATAACCTACCAGCTAATAACTACATACTTACCAAACTTTAGTTAAATACAAGTTGACTAAGAGTTTGGTTAAATATGTACAACTCACAACATTATTATCATCAAGGCACAACTAAGTCACAGCTGTGCACTGTATCATTTTTCTTTACAAAAGATCTAGTAAACGTTTGGACATGAATCGGATGATATTTTATTTTTTTAAAATAATACTATATGGAATTAAAGTTATAATCGGAGATGTATTTCACTTGGAAAATGTTAAAATTTTATGAGGAACCAAATTTTAAAACTCGTTAAAACAATTGTTGGAGGAATCAATTTTTAAATCTTGTTAAAACAATTGTTGGGGTAAAAAAAATTGATTTTGTACTGGAAAGTCCTACATTGCGAGGGAGAAAGAGGAGGGGGAGGGGTGGGTGAAATGCTCACTGATAAAGACAATTTCATATCTGGACTCAAATTCGAAACCTTTGATTGAAAATGAAGAAATAATTAGTATTTCACTATTACGACCGATGTTGTCTGTATGAAATTACCTTGTTACTTATATATAGGAAGAAACCCAAATTGAATCGAAGCCCATTTTGAAAAAAATTTGAGGGTCAATGCGTACAATTCAAAACTAGATGGATAATGAGTGCACTTTTTATGTTTCTTCACTTAAAAAAATAAGTTTTTTTTCTGCAATAGAGTTTTGAAACCTATATGACATGTACTTAACTCACTTATCACGTGTTATGCTCTTGCCACTAGACCAAAACGTCGAGAGGAAACAAAGTAATAGTTTATCCAATGCGAATTTCTAAAATACATCTCTATCTTTTGCCTTAGCTCAGCAAGCGCTCCCTATCTTTTGCCTAACATCTGACGATGGTTTTTATGTTGCTTGGACTCACAAAAAATATTACCGCACTCGTATTAAATACTCCAAAAATATACTTCATTCCGTTTGAAGATAACACCTTAATATTCACAATTTGTTTTAGGATGATAGTGGGCTACATACCTTGCAAGTCGGTTGGGCCAATTCAGTAACCCAATCAAATTGGCCCAGAAAAAAAAGAGGACTTCAATCGGCCCATGATTTTGGTCTAATCCCGGCCCATATTCAAGTCGTGGTCCGAGTCCATTTACCTGCCCAATTAGAAGGGGTAAAATGCACAAAGATCCACTTATGAGATCGTGATTTAGTTTAGGGGAATTTTCGCACATAGCCACTAAAAAATAGCTTACTTACGTTCCATAACTATAGTTTGCTAATTACGATTTGTAGCTACATGTTATAGAGAGGAGAGTGACGAGCGAGATTGGGAGAGGGAGGAGAGAGACAAGTGAGAGAGGGCAGAGAGTGGGAGAGAGGTGAATTGTATATGTATATTAGTTAGATAATTGTATATATGTAACTGGTATGCATATGTATTTGTATATCTGACGAGTGATTTTGGAGGGTGAGGAGAGTGGCGAGCGAGATTGGGAGAGGAAGGAGAGAGGTGAGCGAGAGAGGGCAATAATTTGTATAATTCGCTTCTAGATTTTATAATTTGCGGGTACATTTGCATAATTCGCGTGTTTTTGTACAATTGAGTAATATAAAGTCTGGAATTATACAAATATGATCAAACTTGAAATAACGAATTAATAAAAACATAGACATATGAACTTTAAACAGTAATACAAATTATATTATACAAATTACATTATATAAATTATATTATATAAAATTCAAAAACTACACGTTTATACAAACTTTTAAAAGATATATACAAAAAGATTGAATGTATATGGTGATAAAACTGAAAAACTAAAGGAAATCAGCATCATATACAAATACAAATCAAACGAAAAATTGTTAGTTGAGAATTATACAAATGTGGGGAATTATACAAACGTGACTAATTATACAAACTCGAAGTCAACCCACATAATTAATGATTAATGTTAGTCGCGAGTGATAATAATAACAAACTATAACTATGATGACTAATTAAGTAGTATATTTGCTTAATTGCGTAATTTTCCTTTATATTCGATGTTAAACATCAACTTCAGACATAGGTGACTGAAGTTGAAAATCCACATCTCACTTCAGATATATTTGTATAAAATAAAGCATTGTAAAGATCAAATATCGAACATTTTTACCCGTAACAACAAATAACACGCTAACTGAGGCAAAGAAAATAACATGTAATAATAAAAATGAAGCATAAGATACAATAGGAGCATAATAATAATAGTACATAGAAGGAAAATTAGATGACGCTTGATTGTCTGATACCTTTTATCCTAATTCTTGACTTTCATAGTCATCTATCTAGGATCGTATCCTCGAGAATTTATAAGTGGATATCTTGTCCAATCACCATAATTAGGTGAGAGTAGATATAATCTCCAAATACAACTCATTATTAATTTGTATCATGTTTGGTTGTGTGGAAATACAATTTTAATATAAAAATCAATACTAATAAAATATATTAGTTATATAGGTATATATTCAATCCCCTTTAAGGTTGGAAACAAAAGCGAATCCACGATATTAGGTACAGACGTAATAAAATTTGAAAACTTTAGCACAAATATTTTGTACGTATACATTATCAAACTCTTTAATATGTATAAATATTTTATTCATAAGTTCAACAAAAAAGTAATAATCTAATAATCTTTAATCCTATGGGCCACACTTAATTTTCATCATTTGGTTGGAGGAATGAAGTATAGAAAAAACAATTGTAATTATGTGATTTAATATTGAAAGATTCTTTATCCTATCTTTGGTTGCCAATTTAATTTCATGTACAACTAAAACATTAATGTAAGCATTATATTTGTTAATTTATATTTATTATATCAAATAAAGAAGGAAGATTATGGTAGGTTAATGGTGAACATAAAATTAATCGAGAGGAATTATGTTAAAATGTGCTCGCTCAAATACATGTCAATTGTCATATTTTGAAATTGAGATAAATGATTTACATGAAACAATATAGATATATGATATTTATTAATTCGAATACATATTAAGTACCGACAATTAAAAAATAGGTAAAAACAAATAAATTGGAATAAACACTATTAGGGACGGAGTTATAATCAACAAAAGATGATTGATTGAACGTTGTCATAAAAATTCTAACATTCAACCCGAAACACAACTAAAATATCCATAACAATAACCTACCAGCTAATAACCACATACTTACCAAACTTTAGTTAAATACAAGTTGACTAAAGAGTTTGGTTAAATATGTACAACTCACAACATCGTTATCATCAAGTCACAGCTAAGTCACAGCTGTGCACTGTATCATTTTCCTTTACAAAAGATATCGTAAACGTTTGGACATGAATTGAATGATATTTTATTTTAAAAAAATAATACTATATGGAATTAAAGTTAAAGTTGGAGATGTATTATTTCACTTAAAAAATGTTAAAATTTTGTGAGGAACCAATTTTAAAATCTTGTTAAAACAATTGTTGGAGTAAATTTTTTTTTTTGATTTTGTACTGAAATGTCCTACATTGCTTGGGAGAAGAGGAGGGGGGTGGGTGGGTGGGGTGGGGTGAAATGCTTCTTGATAAAGACAATTTTATATTCAGACTCAAATTCAAAACTTTTAATTAAAAATGAAAAACTAATTACTATTTCACTATTACGATCGATGTTGTCGGTATGAAGTTACCTTTTTGCTTATATATAGGCAAAAACCCAAATTGAAAGGAAGCCCCTTTTGAATTTTTTTTTTGAGCGTACAATTCAAAACTTGATGGATAATGGGTGCACTTTTAATTTTCTTCACTTAAAAAAATAAGTTCTTTTTCTGCAGTAGAGTTTGAAACCTATGACATGTACTTAACTCACTTATCACGTGTTGTGCATTTGCCGTTAGACCAAAACCTCGAGAGGAAACAAAGTTATAGTTTATCCAATGCAAATTTCTAAAATACATCTCTATCTTTTGCCTTAGCTCAGTAAGCACCCCCTATATTTTGCCTAACGTGTTTTTATGTTGCTCGGACTCACAAAAAGTATTACCGCACTCGTATTAAATACTCCAAAAATATACCTCATTCCGTTTGAAGATAACACCTTAATATTCACAATTTGTTTTAGGACGATAGTGGGCTACATACCTTGCAAGTTAGTTGGGTCAATTCAGTAACCCAACAAATTGCCCAAAAAAAAAAAGAGGACTACAATCGGCCCATGATTTTGTTCTAGTTCCGGCCCATATGCAAGTCGTGGTCCGAGTCCATTTACCTGCCCAATTAGAAGGGGCAAAATGCAAAAATATCCGCTTATGAGACCATGATTTAGTTTATATTCGATGTTAAACATCAACAAGTTGAAAATCCACATCTCACTTCGAATATATTTATATAAAATAAAGCATTGTAAAGATCAAATATCAAACATTTTTACCTAAAGTTTGTTGTGTCTTATCAAGAATAACTTCAAATATTTTCAATTGAAATTGTGACCTTCATAATATTTATTTCAGACGTTTTTTATTGAAGCTATTTCCGATAAAATGAACTAGGATTATTGATTGATCTACTTACTCATCAAAGACCTAGCTAGGATACAATCTTTTTCCTTTCTTTTTTGTTCGAGGAATCCTAGGTTGGGTAAGCTAAATATAAAAACCTAAAACCTAAGCTCCTATAAGCAAACTCCAAGTGTAGAAGCAAATGTTTACTTTGAGGATGACACTAACTTGTATGGAGAAATAAAAAAACCAAAGTTATGAATATGGGGCGGAGCTAGAGGGAAAGCTATGAGATCGACATAATTCAATAATTTCTATTAAAATTTTATAATTCTATTAAAAATTGATTAATATGCCAAATCCAACCACAATCATTAAAGTCGTGATAGAATGATGAATTTTTCTATATTTTTAACAAGAGTTTTCAAATTCAAACGTATAAAATAATACGTATTTTTTTCATTTTTAATCAAAAATCTCATATTCAAACCTTATATATACATTCACTCCCTTTTAACAAGAATACTTTACGTAAATTTATTCGATGCATACCTGAATCAGTCAGACATAGGGAGAAATCAAAAAATCCCAATCACCACTAAAAAAATTGTTTTACAATCTTTTTCTCATACACGCGTGTAATTGAAGTAATACCTCATCTGCAATAACATTTCACTATTACAGCTAAATAGTGTCGGAACAAAGGATATCATTCAATTTTTTCGTATATTTTCCATAATAACGTTTCACTATAACAACTAAAAAAACTATCAAAGCTATCAACATGGTTACGTTGCTATAAAGAGGTTTGACGGTATAACACGACTACTCCTCACAAAAATCATTAACCCCAAAAGCCAACCACAACTTCTCATTAAAAATCCCCATCATATCCTCCGGTACAAATTCCTTCCTACAAAGTGGACACGTCTTCTGATCATGATCCATCCAACGGTCCACACAGCTCCGGTGAAACACGTGTCGACAATTCATCAACATCCTGATCTCGTCGCCGGAATCAAACTCGTAAAGACAAACCGCGCAGCTCTCCGGCGGGTCAACTATTTCGGAAAACCTCACTACCGGTAATATCTCTCGGATTATCGCCGCCGACACCGAACACAACCGGGTATTCTCTTCTCCGGGTCGGGTCGGGTAAGGAAAGTCGGGTTCGAGGAAATCGGGGAGACCGAGAATTGTGAAGAGATTACAGATGAGTTTTCTGATGAAGAATAGAATTGAAAGAAGATGGAGAAGTAATTTGGGGAAATTGAGATCTGTATAGCCTAGTGGAAAACCCATTAAAAAGGTGTTTTTGTGAGTAATTAGTGTGTGCAAAAATGGAGATTTGAACTGACCTGAGATTCCTTGTTAATGGCGGAATGGGAGGTTTATATAGTGGCAATTTTTTGGGGGAAATGTTCAAATTTGCCCCTAAAGTAATCAAATTTGCAATGTGTCCACTACTCACGGAGAAGTCGTAGGGGTTCAACATTAAAAAATAATAATTTTTAATTATGTATATATAACATAATTTTTTATCGAAGAGAATTTGGATAAACACCCTTAGTTCTATTTGCCTCCGCGGGTGGCCATGATATGATAAATATAAATTATTATATTGAGATTGAAAATAAAATATTTTTTGAAAAGCAAATATGATTCTGCGTAAATCAAAGTCTAATAAATTATGACTATTTATTTTGTCATACCGTAGAATACTAAAATCGAATTAAAAATATGAAATTATAGTGAATCAATTTGATGAGATAATGAGTTGTAAGGTATGTGTACATTTTATTCTCTTTGGCTTTTGTTTTACGGAAGTAGATTAGGTATGTTATTGCTATTGTTGTAATATACATTTCTCATTAATTTGCGGTGGGAAAAATCTCTATTTCTGATAGTGTATAATGGATAATATTAGACTAAAAGTTGAACAAACTATAAAGTTGCTCAATTTTGAATAATAATGAGCATTTTTGGCTTTTTTTTTTTAATATCCGATATTTAATTTCTAGCCTAACTAATTTAGATTTATGCCTTAAAAGTCATGCTTTGGAAGGAAATACGCCTTATCAAAGATAGCTATATTTACAAGACTCGAATCTGAGATCAGTAATTAAAAATAAAAGATCACTTTAATGAATACATAATTTAGAAAATATTTTTGGAGTGGGGTGTGTGGGTAAGTGGGGAGGGGGGGGGGGCGGGGGTGTGGGGGTTATTAGTGACAGGGATGTGAGAGAGTCAAGTGTGTATGTGTGTCCCATTCCAAGACGTAGGAGCCTTGTCCTATGATTTGGGCTCTTCACCTTTTAACATTCTGAATTGTCAATTTATATCTTCATAAATCAGACTTTATCTGTAATAAAAAATAAAATTATAAATTCTTTTTATATTTTTAAAATCAAAGGAATTAAACTTTATTTTTTGGAAAGTACAAATGATGGAGAATAAAATCCAATCTTTGAAATGTCAATTTTTAACAAGTAGAAAGAAAAAAAAAACTACTAATTGTTTTAGGATCATGAAATTTTTAAGTTTGTTCTACGAGTTTAGGACAATGATTTTAAGTGCTAACTAAATTTTGAATTTGATTTATATACATATGTGTTAACATATACATAATTTGTATCAGAACTATTAAACTCTATCAAATTCATTTATATATTTGTGCTAAATTTGTACACAAAATTGAGATTACTTTCTTTGGGGCCATTGACAAATAGTCATATGGCCATGATGATGTGTATAATGTACTAATTTTCATACAAATTCATGTGCTACATTTTAACTTTCTTTATAATTATAGGTACTATAGTACTCTTTTGACAACAACTTAGGTAGCTTCTCATTTTCAAATGCTCAAACACAAATAATCAAATGATTTTGACTTGTTATTAGTAGGTACCAATGAAGGAACATAAGAAAAGGACTCATTTGAAAGCCACTAGACCAAAATATGTATTTTCAAAACTAGTATTATCAATCTATCAAGTACATTGATTGAAAATTGACCACAAACCTAATTGGAATATTGTAAATTGACCACAACTCTAGTTTATTTTCATAAATAAAAGAAAAAAGAGGAGAAAACTTGTTTAAATAAATGGTTATCTCCCATCGAGGAATGTGATGCTTATGACAGAGAACGAGCTGACAAGAATGATTCAAATAGAAAGATTGATATGGCATGCTTCTAGGCTGAAAAATTTCTAAAGAGGAGGTGAATTCTTACGTCGGAAAGGAGGAGAAAAAGAGTGAAGTGCACGTTAAATAAGATATTTCACAAGTTTACGTGTTGATCAATGTGACTATACTACACAATCACGCACCTAAGCTGAACGAACAATTTCATCTGAAATAATACTATTCTTTTTTATTATTTACGAACAATAACTAATAAAATGTACCAGATAAACATACAATGAATCTTTTTGAAAATGAAATAGTTTTTGATAGGGAATAATTGATCATAATGTGAAATTTTCTAGGCAAATTCAGATTAGCCAGACTTCAATTTCAGGTAGAAGACACCGAATATATATATATGTATGAATTTCTTTTTTCAAATAGTTTTGTTAAGAAGTTGGAAGTATCAAGGCCATGGGGCCAAAATGAAAAAAAAAAAGGTCATGAAGGATTGTGCAATGTCCAAAGGATTGTGCAATATCCAAAGGCATCAAGTGGGGGTAAATGGTTCCTGCAAATGCAATAGTCCCTTTCACAAGCCCACAAACACTTAAGTGAACTAAATTGAAGACCCACCAGTCATCTTCACACTAATTCGAATTTGTTCAACGTACAAGTTATGACCTATTAAAGGAGAAACACTTCCTAATAAGTTCTTTTCAATACTTACCACCATTGTAAATATAATTAAATAAATAAAAAACGTGCTCCGTCTAATAGCTTAAAATTTCAATAAGATCTTAAAAGGTCATTCAACTTTGATAATTTATCTAGTAAAGTCATTAAACTTTATTTTGTATCAGTAAAATCACTCAACTTAGATTTTTGTATCAATAAAATCACTCAATTTAATTTATTATATCACCATTCATTTTCTCTCCTAGATCAAGTTTCCAGTCAATCACTATAACCATCACACAAAAACAATAACAAAATCATTGTCCGATTTGGAGAAGAAATTACAATTCGGCCGAGTAATTGACAGAACAAAAATGGATGAACATTTTATATATTTGAAAAGTTAAAATTAATATTCAGATTTAAAAAAAGTATATGAATATTTTTTTGTTGGATAATTCATAAAAAAATCCAGATGTTACCCAAAAGCATCAATACTTCTGTTTGGGCATACTGAATTAAGTGCTCAGAAAGATATTGTTACGATACTGAATTTAATAGAAAAATAATTATTGTTGTTTCCCGCTAATCTCTATTGCTACCGTAAGGCAGAGGATTCTTGTTAATAGTTAATGTTATCGGTAAGAAATTCTTAATAGTTTTATTTAATTTTATTTATTTATGAAATTCATATTTATATGGCATAAACATAATTTATATTGCTTTGTCATTTTTTTTAATGATAAATTTGGTTAAGTGATTTTTGTTGATACAAAAATTTAAGTTGATTGATTTTATTGATACAAAATAAAGTTCAATGATTTTATTAGATAAATTCTCTAAGTTGAATGACCTTTTGAGATATTAACTCCAATATATATATATATATATATATTGAAAAAAATCTACTAAATATCTATAAATAGTTAGTTGTGAAGACAACTATTATATATTAACTTAAAATCATTAGAAGAATAAAAAACTTCGAATCTTAGATCTCTCTCACATCAAAATCTCCAGTTAACAATAAAGTGATTCTATCTATTCTGTCAATTGTCATATATAGTCTATAGAACATAATAACACATCATTAGTATATGCTTTCATCTATTTCTGAAAATACTTCAATTAATATAAAAAAAGATATTGGTTAATTTTACAACTTATTTATTAATTCTTTTGTGGAATCAATTTCTCATCGATATACTAAATTTTCTTGATAAAACTCCAACTGGTGGGTATAATAATTGAACATTAATATTTAGGTTCTCATGTTGTGTTTCACGTAATTTTACTTATGAATATACTATTTTCGTCTTAATTTATGTAGTGGTATTTGAATGCAAATATAGAGTTTAAAAAGGACTTTATTTGAAATTTATGGTTTATAACAAGATATACATAATTGTTACTCTTTGTATTATGTAGCGATAGAGCAGACATTGAATCTCGTAAACCCAAAATATGCCAATTGAAATTTCATGTGTACATTATTTTTTTTTAAAAAAATTCTCTTATTAAAATTTCTGATTCCGTCATATTTTATGATATATTTTGGTGTCACGTCGTGTCCCAAATAGTGTGTAGGTTTCCCCTAATGATATATACAAGGCAACATGCTTACAATATGTTGATCCTTATTATTACCCATACTAGGTGTGCCTAATAATAATTGCATTTCTTTTGGTACATAAATAATTTAATGTGGTATTAGTCCCATCTTATAGATATGAAGAGGGAATAAAAAAAAAAGGTAAGTCATTTATAGAATAATATGAATTACTATGCAATAGTCCAAGTAAGTGGGATCATATAATTCTGTATTATGAAGATTTGTCATGAATAAATATGTTTTACGTTGATTGTTAATCTATTATAATTCATCTTTTTTTTTATATGTATGTGAAACCGACCATGTATGCAAGCTCACACCAACGGAGCATGTTAGTAATTAGTGACTGATGAGTCTTGCCCAACCAGACAAAGATCATGGGCAGGATTATCAAGTGTGAAGCATGACAATTTCTTGGCTATGGTGGGTGGGTAGGGTACTCATGTTATTATGTTCTTTTTTTAATTTTCAACGGACGTGTCCATTGAAATTTGACTCGTTGATAAGAAATTTTCAACAAAAAGGAGAAGAGATAAGTATTCTAATAATACTTACTATTAATAAATCAGTAATTTATGACAAACCCTGCAAATTTGGCTTGACAATATTGTTTATGATGAAAATTTCATCCAAAATTTCTTATCTGACAGGCCAAATTCTAATGAGACATCTGTACAAAATTAGCGCTCTTCTGATAGTGACTGATCTCGTTGATCAATTATGATGAAATGAAGAATTAGTTTAGTATATTACTATAATTTTGAGGGGGGGGAGGGGGGGGGGGGAGAGTGCTCTTCAAAATGACCGAATAAAAATACTTTTTATTTTTCCATTTATTGATGTAAATATCGAATACAAATTTAAATCTCCTCATTCTATCCCTCTGATAAAAAACTAAGTAAAATAATTTATTTATTTT